CTTTTTTTAGGAATATTAAAGGGTACTGCCGCCTATACTGATTATGAATAAGGAAATTAAGGAGGCTTGGATGCTTATCTGTTGCTTGAGAATATATAATCAGCAATTTCGCTCTGAATGATTATAACGTTTCTGCGTATATTGTTTCGAACGAATAATTTTCCGAATGTTCTGTGTATTTACCTGACTGCCGTAAAACAAAATGCTGTTTATTTCAGAATGTATTAAATATACATTTGATTTAAAAGGGTTAGATATGACATCAACCCCTTTAGTCCTGAAATGCTAGAAAATGATAGAAATGTGTGTGTATTTTAACAGTAAACATGTTCGATGAAGACGTCAGTGCATTTGAATTCATCTCGATTTTTATTTATTAGATAATTTAAAATAATTAGGGGATGTGGAAGGGCTTTAAACTGACTTTTCACTAAAACCCTAGTGGAGCATTGACGAAAATGGATGAATTGGATCTCTATAGCTGTCTTAGCATCCACTTTTTTCATTTGGTATCTTCTCCGCACACACACTACAGAGTACGTGATCATTATTATCATAGATTTAAAATTGCACACAACCCCAGAATATAAAACATTTCCATAATCGTAATCACATCTCTGATATGTCTGATGCATCTCCATTGTACGATTCCGACTGTTACAAGAGTTTAGTATATGATTCAATAATTAAGGAAAGTGTTGAAATGACCAATGGTTTTTTTCTTTCAGGAACTTGTAATGATAAAACAGCAAAGATCAAGAAGTTAAGCGTTACACCTAAAATATCCACATTAAAGGATATTTTAAGCTTAATTATAATCATAGTTACAGTTGTTAAATATTTTTACAAATATTTTATTAAACCTGGACGGCCATGGGTATTTGTCAAATATTTGTAAATTACACGACGTATTGTGAGGGGGGTTAGTGATACTGGTAGGGTAGAACATCCTCATCCTTTCCGCAAAGACCTGTGCTATCTGGTGTTTTGAGTTATCCATTCACATACTTTTACCGCTAGTCTGTCTATTGCGCAGTATGGAGTCGGTTTCAGTCGCTCATTTCGGGGTTGTTGCTTTTTGTGTGTGTTTTTTTTTTTGTGTGTGATTTCCATGGTCTCTTATTTGAGTGTACATCACATATCAATATCTGTCTATCTTATTTGTCATTACAATTATAAAGAAACCAATATGAGAAACTGTATAAGAGCATAATATTACTTTCGTTATTGTTTTATCATATCACAATGGGCTATTTTCATATTACCATACACCCGAATGTTTTCAACATTTGTATCTGTTAATACTGTAAATATAATAATGATAATAATAATAATGAGGGTAGAAGGTTATATGACTTATCCCACCGGGTACCCATTTTCTGCTGGGTGAGGCAATTTTGAACAAACTCACTTGCCTAAGGTAAGACCACATGCATCACATGTGTTTCATATCATATTAAAGCCACAAAACCTTTAACTTTTTAAAAACGACATTACATTTTAACTGTATTAAAAGCATGTGGTATGTAACTTGTCCCGATCAAACTGTTATGATATCTATACAGTCATGAAACGAATGCCTTGGAAAAGACCGCATATAATTTGATTCATGGCCGCAATTATGCCAAGGATTCCCTATTGAGAGGAGACGCTTCGTTATACGGTATACATACCACAAACTGTCTAGTATCTATCTATAACACGCAGAACGCCTTGTCCTCATTGTTTTCTGTGAGACAAGCCAAATGACGTCACAGAAGGACAGGCGGGGAACAAGGAAACTGAAGAGGAACTACCCCCCTATGAGTAATGCTGTACAGTTTCATATTGTTGCATCCCCGAATCCGGGAACGGTGACTTAACGTTCACTCTCTCTTTGCGAGTATATAGGTGACGAATCACTTATGCGCCGTTGGTGAAGTTGAGGTGGAAATGACATCGTAATTCATGAGTGAGTGAGGAAGTTAGAATTTAACGTCACCTCGGCTCATAATTAATGACACATTTATAAATCACCCATACGTTTAAGGAATGAAGTTTAAGTCAAACTGCCGCTCCATCGTAAGGAATTTGATTCAACCAGAAAATTTGCGCTCCCGTACAAAAGGAATCCATTTGACTAATTCATGGATATACACGTGTGTGGTGATTTTGAGACAGTTCTTATACGATCTAATTAAATGTGTCATTTCTTGATTAATTATTCTGAAATAAGTACGAATTATTAGCATCTGTGTCACGTTTTTGAAAATTGTCGTGCGTTTATCATTTACCAGCGGACGGTGGGGTAGCCTAGTGGTTAAAGCGTTCGTTCGTCACGCCGAAGACCCGGGTTCGATTCCCTACATGGCTACAATGAGTGAAGGCTATTTCTGATGTTCCCCGCCGAGACTAAACTAACTTATTATGTAGCATCCTTTATCACAAAAGCCTGGATGTGTCTGATTCTCACGGCCAAATCAAACTGCCGTGCTTGCACTTTTAAACCTGAATGAAATGCTTGCATTCCGAGTTTTAACAAAAGACTGCACACTCCTGTTCACAGGCATTAAAATTCAAGTCCATCATTTGATGAACCGGATTAGCAAAACAAGACACCGTCAAAACGATATCTGAAAAAGGAGGGCTGGTAACTGTCATAAAACTTCCATTTCCCAACAAATGGTTGACATTCTTGAATAAATGGGTGTTGTCCCGACTGGGTATGTTCATGTCAATAGTTCAAAGACTGCCCAACCTAAATCACCCTCTGTCCACGCCCGTATGAAAACTCGTCACATTATTATGCATATTCATTGTAACGCTTGCCGCAACTATTTGTAGGACAGTGTAAGGAGTATCTGGGCCAGGCGGTCACGCTTTGACGTCTTCGTGGAATCTATTTTGAGAGTTGGGTACAGATAGTCGAAAAATGAAAATAACATCGCTAAGAGCCATTCACTCGTATCCGTTTCGTAAAGATGTAATCTTGGAATGAAATGTGAAACAAGTTTTACAGATGACTACCTTAAAGCGGTTAAAGAATTAGATAGATAATAAACGCGGAGAAATATTGCTACTCGGGATGCATCCGGGGTCCGAATGAAAATGTCCACGCCCGTCGGTCACGCAGTTCCGGCGCGTTGACAACATTGCAAACACGTCCTAAATCCAGCTCTCCTTTCGGACAGTCTCGTTGCTATTTTTGTCCCACGTTCGAAAAATACCATGGCCAAATCGTGACACATACCTGTGCTGAATTTATTGCTATCCGTCACCTCCAAAACCCAAACCGACGACAAAACAGATTAACGAAAGGCGTAGGTTGTTTGAGACATGTATGAACACCTGCCTAACTTTCATGGTCATAAATTTGAATACACTTACATTTATTACTCTTTAAAACTCAAAGCATTTTAACGCTGCTAGTAAAGTGATAAAAATATCCACTTATACAAACTTGAAAGTTGCTACGTTTAATTCAAAGCCTCGAAAGCTTGTACACCGTTAGCTACAATATTCAAGACAGTTCGTTTGTATGTCATGTAGAATCTTATACTAGTGAGTGAATATGGTTTTACGCCGCTTTTAGCAATATTCCAGCAATATCACGGCGTCGGACACCAGAAATGAGCTTCGCTTCACACATTGGACCCATGTGAGGAATCGAACCTGAGCCTTCGGTGTGACGAGCGAACGCTTTAACCACTATGCTACCCCACCACCTCAATCCCTGTCGGAAATGAGGTCTAATGGACAAACAATTTATTATGAATAAATACATAGTTTTCGATGTTCGAAATAGCTTAAAATTTGTATCGTTCCCCGAAGCAAATACGATGGAGTGTGAACGTATCTGTTTTCCATAATGGAGTCACATGGTGACAGACGCTGATATATTTTTTAAATCTTTAAATTCCTACCCGCACGTAGTTTTAGATACGGATTAAGTGCTACAATAATAATTAAGAAGTTGACATAACCAGATAATAAAACCAAGTGTCATGCATATGTACCAATGCGTGGAGGTAGTGCATCAGCGGACTGGCCTTTCACAAGGCTACCGTTGACGGAAAGCCATTCTTTACCCCATACAAACACAACTACGGACTCCCATAATAAAAGGAGCAATTACATAAATTTTGGGCGGAGGTAAAGAGAATATTTGATTTTCTAATGGACTCGCTAATGACTTTATATTTGCTTTAAGTGTAGTTATGTTTGGTGTGATTATGCAAATATAGGCATTTTAAAATTATTTCTAAAGTTTAAAAGAATTTTATTGTAAATTGGGACAACCTTAGTGGTAGATTATTAATAATGCTGCTTACTATATTGAACCTGTTGAATAGACTGTTGAAATAGTTACGCATTCTCTATGACACTGTTCTAGAAATCATTACCAGGAAACTGTTGTTTCTCTCACGTTTAAATACGTACTTTTCACGCTTGAGAGACTTTCACTTGCGAATTTTATTTCGCTTAATGTCCACCAATCCTAAACTTCGTAAAAATGACACAACATATTAACCACAAACGTGTTCGTCCTTTTCACACATGCTATTGTGTTGGCGTAATATGTATATGGTTTATCGTGCATGCTCTCAATAAATGTTCACTTCTTTGTTTACAGACAACGGGATTTCGAACACAGACTGAAGGACTGACTACTCGGACTGTGAGAATGTGTAAGCATGAGGTGATTAACAACGAGCCACGCACAGAAGGGAGGAGCTCTGGCTGACGCTTACAACAATGCGGGCCTACGTAAACAGGGACAGGAGACACCCATTGGCTGGGGCGACTCGGTCTTCACAGTGGGCGTGCCCTGACTCAATGAATCTAACTAATAATTTCGAAAACTTACACCACGACTACAAATAACGTTATACCAGTTAGCGGTCAATCCCTTTGCCGGACCTATAAAAGGAAAACTGGCTAATTTTATGCCTCATTTAAACTCAAAATATAAAGGAGAGAGGACGCCAATGTTTGTCAGATAATCGAACACTCTCCTGAAACCACGATGGACTTGTGATATTTCGGATATTTGTGTTCTTTAAGGAGATAAAGAATGAATAGGACTAAACGTGTTTTCCTCTATTTCACCTTCTGGGTGATATTGGCCCTTGGTGCTGTGTTGTTGAACATATTCAACATAGACTGGTCAAAGACAAACATATTCCAAGGAATAATCCTCACCGTGGTGCTAGGCGTACTACAAGGTTCCGTGCTGGAGTTCCCCGTTATGACAGTGGCCACACTGCTTGTTGGAGGGGATAGACGAGAGAATCACAGGGTTTCGGGAGACCAGTTCACCATCGTCCTCAACTACAACCTCCTCGCCGTCAGCAAAGACGACATCGACGAGTGCCTTCAAACTATGTACGACGCCTACATGGGAAACCTGTCTGAGAATGTATGTGCTGTGTTAGTGAGCGCTACCAATTCAGAGGAACTTAAGGCTTATGAGCTGGAGGTGAGAGATAACTTCAGAGCAATGGTGTATGATGAACTCTTCAGAGAAGGGTTGAATTATGCCAGTGGGGATAGAGACCTTGTAGACTCTCTTCGGTTAAAGCATATCTGGTCGAAATTTGACGATATGGATCGAAATATTTTCGTACGGACTTATTTAGATGAAATATGTGATCGTTTTGCTCGTGATTTCATGGTTGTTCACAGAGTGAGTAGGGTCCTGAGGAAATGTGGACAGTACCAAGACTTAATGCTTCTATCTCATGGCGATGATGAGGCATATGCATATACAGATAAAGACTACTATGGAAGGCAGGCCAGGCCATTTGGGCAGCCTTTGTTTCACGACTCTGAAGACGTGGAGAATATTTTCGGACGTCAGTTTGACTATACCTTGGTCCTTGACGGCGATACGGGTGTTGTAGGAGGATCAGTGTTTCAGTTGCTGGAGATAGCTGCTGCCAACCCCGACAGGGGAATAATACAACCAGCTATAAAACTTCATTGTACAAACACAGACACTATCTTCATGCATTTGGAAAGAATGAGACAGGCTATATATGAACCCATGACAAACGCTATTACCGCTCTACTGGGACAGTCATCCTATTTCGGTAAAGCTTTGATCAGGAACTCTGTTTATATTGAAAACGTCATCGGAACCAGAGATAATCTCATAGAGCGGGTTCCTGTTGATGTTCTCAGCCACGACACCTTTGAGGCTGCCCTTCTCAAACCTCTGTACGCCGGGTCCGTTTACCTGCTGGAGGCGCCATCCTACAACTACGTTGCATGGAACATTCGGGAAAGACGATGGAACAGAGGCGAGGTTCTCTTGTCCATGTACTTTTGGAAAAACGCTATCGGGAAACCAATGCGATGGATCCAGAGCAAATTACAAGGAGAGAAGTTCAACGCCACCAAACTGAGAACTGAATCTAAACTGGACTTTGTAACGTCGTACATTGCTCACTCCGCCCTGCGTCAGATGTTCATGAAGCCACTGTTGCTGGCGTACATCATCGTTCACTACCAGACACATCTCCGTTACAGGTACGCCTCAATCATCATCGTCATGTTCCTCGTCCTCGTCTTCCCAAAGTTTGCCACCTGCACCCGGGAAAACTACAAGTTTGTGTTTCTCGAGACCGTCGCCTCCATTCTCCAGTTCACACCGGAAGCCATGGTGGGATGCGTTCGCATCGTGCGGGCCATTCAGGCCAATATTAGTGCATCAGTTAAATGGGTTCCCCAGAGAGCCGTGGAAGAAGAATTCAAAAACTCAAACCCATTTATTTCAAGTTTCAAACATTTATGGGGCTATTCTGTATTTGCAGTGGTGTGTGCCGTGCTTGTTGGCTTTTTCGCAAGCGAAGCATTACTGATTCTCGTAATGCTTGTGACTTTGTTCTTTTTACCTTTTTACACAGGGTTTACCTCACTTACACCAGACTTTAAATCATCCAAGAGTGTCATGGAAAAATATAAGGCCAATATGGAGACAGCGATCAGCACCATTGCACAACCCGATAAAAGGGCGGGCCCACAAAAATACGTATTTACAAACATTGCTACGACCCTCTCTACTCATCCGGACGCTAATACGCGGTACAAACCTTTCGCATTCCGTGGCCAATATAACGTTGTGTAAAGACTGAAATCCGTAACCAAACATTGGCCATTTGCAAATAGCATTAACATGGATTCTTTAGAATCCCTATCCATCGGTTCTACGTGTTCACTCTGCTCATAATCGGAACACTTCGGATTTTCGAGGGAACCAGATCGATTGAAGATGTTCCGATTGCTCATTGTTTCTCCACAGTCAGTATCATGCTCATTTCATGTCTTGAACGCTGTAAAATTGGACGCTGATCAAAGTGATATAATGCCATATGTTATAGCCTTGTCTCTAGTGCGTTTGCTATGTGGAATGTTGGACGTTACAACGCGTTCATATGGCCAGCTTTCTCTTCATTTACGCAATGTTCTGCGTTTTCGGTGCTTTGTCATAGAAAGTTGAATATTACAATATAAATTAGTTTTTAAAATTGACCATTGATAGATGGGTTCATATGTACATCTGTCCGTAACAACGAGAATATGTTCTTTAAGGACATGAAAAGAAAACAACGTATATCAAATAAGAAATGAATTGCCCGAAAATTAATATACGTGCTTTAGACCAAATAATGGGGAAGTCACTAATATATACCAAGACAATATGAAGCACTGAGAATTGCAATTCATATTAAAATTCACAGTAAAAATGACTTCGGGTCATTTCAACTTCTTCAGATTTCGTGTAGTATTTACAAATATTAAAGTTGTTGATGATTGTCTTAACTTTAGAATATTTATGTATTATAACTATCTTCCCCGAGGTAAAGTTGGTGCAATGTAATACATTGGTATTTTTGCTCCCACGAGCTTAGAATCAAAACTTCAAAACACGATAGACAAAGTTACAAATTTAGATTTCACTGTTGCAATAAACCCAGTTTTATGTGTAACTCCCCTGTAAATATGTGATTTATTTATTTTTGAATGTTTTATACGTAAGATATTTTTATATTAAACTCATTCAATAGATATGTGTGTTGTGTAGTTTTATTTGACCGGGTTATGGTATGAGCACGTGATTTAGAGTTTCACGTAATGTAGTGCGAAGCATAATTGCAAATGTACATATACTGAACTGGACTTTGACCCAGATAAATATTCTATAAAATGTGTTAAATCCGAGAATATTTAATATCAACTGCAAATTTGATAATTCTTGTGACCTTGACCTTATTCCAAATTGAGGTCAACTCAAATTTGAACTACCCTACTCTGTAAGTGTTAAGTCATCGATGTGACCTGGTATTCGCAATACATCGGTCACAGTGACGTAATATTGAGGATGTCTCAACACGGAATAGATACTCCGGCCTTCACCTTCATAAACTATTAGAGACGTCACTAGCTTGAGAATTTCCCCAACGGGTGGCAATTACAGATGTTGGGGATGGTGTGTGTGGGTGACCTCTGACATAATATGTCTAGACCTGGCAAGGTCTTTACAGCTTTTAGGCTAGACTAATGCTTAGTCTCTGAATATATATATAATTTTGATAGTAACAAACCAGCCCATTTAAATTGAAAAGGAGCCCCAGGGAGACCAGAGATTCCGACTACTATTAGGCCTGCAGTTCGTGTGCAAGTTAGTTTATTGTTTAACGACGCAAAACTACTAACGGCGGTCTAGACCACACAATCCAGTGACTGGCACCATGAACGTCGATATACGCAGTTGCGATACGATGCATCATGTCTTTTTGTTCGTGTCATCTCAGCAATTCTCCAGCTATATGTGACCCGTGAAGATCCGGGGTAGAATAGGTCTTCAGCAACCCATGTGCTTGCCATAAAAGGCGACTATGCTTGTCGTAAGAGGCGACTAACGGGATCGGGTGGTCAGGCTCGCTGACTTGGTTGACACATGTCATCGGTTCCCAATTGCGCAGATCGATGCTCATGCTGTTGATCACTGGATTGTCTGGTCCAGACTCGATTATTTACAGACCGCCGCCATATAGCTGGGATATTGCTGAGTGCGGCGTAAAACTAAACTCACTCACTCACTCCAGTTATGTGTAGGCGGTCTGTAAATAATCAGAACAGACAGTCCAGTGATTGATATCATGAGCATGAGTCTCCGCACCTGGGGTTCGATGACATGCATAAACCAAGTCAGCACAAATGAACGCCCGGATCCCGTTAGTCGCCTCTTATTACGACAAGCATAGTCGCCTTTTTTGGCAAGCACATGGGTTGCTGAAGACCAGTTGTCAGGACCCATCATATCACAATAAGGGCGGTGGGGTAGCATAGTCGTTGAAGCGTTCGCTCGTCACACCGAAGACCCGGGTTCGATTCCCCATGAAACATTATTGCGTCCCCCGCCGTGATATTGCTTGAATATTGCTGAAAGCGGCGTAAAACTAAACCACTCACTCACTCACTCACACCACAATACCTTTCAAAATGGTATCTCTCCTTACTCTGCAAACATAGTATCTCAATAGCACGCACGCACATACGCACGCACACACGCACTGAAGAAGGTCGTATTTCAATAACAACTGCATTCACAAAGAATGTTACAATATCATTTTAAAGAATCTTGAATTTGAAGATATATGAGAGACAAAACTCTGTCATTTGAATGTTGCGCTGCCGGGTACCCATTAACAACTGATCTATATTTTGATTGCGTAGTTTTTTAGAACACAATTTACACGTAATACGTAAACCGAAATGTATAATATTCGTTGTCTTAAATGCGTGCAGTTAAAAGGAAGTGGGATTTTACGTCATCACAATTAAAGCCACATTACCCCGGTGCATTCTACAAAGTGACTCGACCAAGAAATGACGAGCATCGCAACCCTAAGGACAGACAGACAGACAGACATATTTATTTGTATATGTGGCCCTGAGGCCAATAGTACATGTGTACAATAATAACTGTGCATTTATGCGCAACCTGTAAATACGCGAGTTATAGGAACATCAATAAATCCATAAACACCCATTCACAATTTACATTTTTTCTCTCAACATAAGTATGTGGTACAACACTAGGGCTACCTTAAACAACAAGTCAATATTTTCTGTGCGAAGTAGCATACAGAATTTTTGTCTCGACGGTTGGTTATAGAAAAAAAAGGTAAATATGTTTCTCTTATTTCTAAATATTTCGGGCATATAAGTAATACATGGTACTCATCTTCTTGCGATAAATTGCAGAATGGACATTGGATATCTATTGCATTTGAAGTTTTGGCAAATCGCGCCGCTTGGACTTTGAAGTTGTAAGCGTTACATCTAAATTTAGTAAGCGTACGCTTTAGTTGTGGTGATTTAATCTTTGAAAGGTAAATTTCTGTATTAATACAATATCTATATTCTGAATAAAAGTTGACACAGGTTGATGACGTTATTTCATTATACCAGTCCTGTTGATAAATGTCTTTGCATCTCTGCTTTAATACTTCGATAAAATATTGTGTATTACTTACATTTTGAGCGAGTCATACATTTCCAAAGCCATGACTAAAAAGAATAGTTCTAACGAAGGAAACCCAATTAGTATCTCCGGTATCATCTAGTGTTTTAAGCATTTCATAACTACATCTTGAATATCGTGAAATTGGTTGTCTCATCAATCTTATCCAGTATGAAATAACCCGACATCGGGCGTTAATAAACAGTGGAAAACGTCCACATTCAGCTAAAATAACCTTTGTTCGCAGTTCTGTAGCCAACACGCAACAAAAACTTACAGAACTTTGAATGTACCTTTTCAATATTCTTGTTTATGTTAATGCCCCATATTTCAGAGCCGTACAACAAAATTGGTTGAATTTTTCCATCAAACAGTTTAAATGATGCATGGATCGGTAATTCTTTATATTTGCATATGAATTTCTTTATGACATGTAGGGCTCGTTCAGCTTGCATAGATGTTTCACAGGCTCTGGAGAATATATTTCTACACGAAAATATAATACCTAAATATTTGTAATATGATACCACCTCCAATTTTTGGCCATTAATTTTAAGGAACCATTTTTCACTTTTAGAGATTTTGCGCCCATTTTTAAAAACCATTACTTTAGTTTTACTAATATTTATCTGAAGACCCCATTTCAAACAATATTCATTTAGAGTATCTATCTTGCATTGTAACTGGACAACAGAATCGGCAAGAATCACGACATCATCTGCAAATAGCATTATTGCAAGATCTCTGATATGTTCGTTAATAAATACACCTCTCGTATCATTTGATAACATTTCCTTAACAAGTTCTTCAACATATAACAGGAAAAGTACAGGTGATAGAATGCAACCTTGCCTCACTCCGGCATATGTATCAAATATATCACAAATATATATTACGTAAAAGACGTTGGATGTTGCCATGTATACCTGACTGTAGTAGTACATATAACAGTTTTGATCTATTAACGGAATCAAACGCTTTCTTAAAGTCTACGAATAGACAATAAAACTTTCCCCCTTTCTTCCGCAGATATTTATGGATAATACTGTTGACAGTAAATATATTGTCCGTAGTTGAATACTCTTCTCGAAATCCCGCTTGGCACTCAGATAAAAGTTCACGAGTGGATATCCAAGACTTAATGAGATTATCTAATATAGTGGTAAATATTTTGTTTAGTGTATTCAATAATGCAATACCTCTATAATTGTTTGGATCACCCCTTTCACCCGACTTATGCAGAGGTACAATCAATCCTACATTCCAGGAATCTGGAAAAACGCCGCTGTCTAGAACTCGATTAAACAGACTATTCATAAAAGGAAGCAATAAAGAAATACATTCTTAAAAATCTTCAACTGGAATACCATCTCCCCCGGGTGACTCGACCAAGAAGTGACGAGCATCGCAACCCTAAGGCCCTAACAACAAAATTTTGCCCATGAAGATCCGGTTAGAACCCATCACATTTGTTGTAAGAGGCGACTAACGGGATCGGGTGGTCAGGCTCGCTGACTTGGTTGACACATGACATCGTATCCCTATTGCGCAGATCGATGTTTATGATGTTGATTACTGGATTGTCTGGACCAGACTCGATTATTTACAGACCGCCGCCATTTGTTTATATGTTGATTACTGGATTGTCTGGACCAGAGTCGATTATTTACAGACCGCCGCCATTTATATGGAGTATTGCTGAGTGCGGCGTTAAACAATGAAATACGTAAGACAACAATCAATACACCCGGTGTCAAGGCATACCTAACCTCAGACGGTTGGTTGAGTGGTTGAAGCGGTCACACATTACACCGAAGACCCCGCTTCGATTCAAGATCCATTCCCAGTGAAGAAATTCTATCGTGAGTGAGTATGGTTTTACGCCGCTATAGCCATATTCCAGCAATATCACGGCGGAGGACACCTGAAATGGACTTCACATATTGTACCCAAGTGGGGAATCGAACCAGGTACTTCAACGTGACGAGCGAACGCCCTAATCATTTGCCTACCCCACCGCCCTCCCATAGAGAACTGTGCCAGGAAGAATGACTATTAGTACTATTACTTCAGCGTGACGAGCGAACGCTTTAACTATTTGCCTACCCCACCGCCCTCCCATAAAGAACTGTGCCAGGAATAATGAGTATTAGAACTATTACTTCAACGTGACGAGCGAACGATTTAACCATTAGGCTACCCCACCGCCCTCCCATAAAGAA